AGGATAGGAAGAAAAGACTAAAATGGATGTCAGAAAAGACTCTGAGACTTGCCCTTGCACAGAAAGCAGCTAAAGCAAATGGAAGAATTGACAGGATAAAAGAGCTGAACAGAAGATTTCAAAGAGCAGCTGAAGAAGACAAAGTCAATAATTATAACGAATCCACAAACACCTGGAGTTAGAAAACCAAAAGGGAAAAACACGCTTCTCAAGATGAAAGAACTGAGGAAAAAATTTAAGCCTCGAATTGCAGTACTGAAAGATTCCATGGGCATTATGTTGACTAATGTAGGAAATATCAAAAGAAGATGGGTGGAATGAGTACACAGAGTCACTGTACCAAAAAGAATTGGTCAATGATCATCCATTTCAGGAGGTGTCATATGATAAAGAACCAATGGTAATGAAGGAAAAAAATCAAAGCTGTACTGAATGAACTGGCAGAAAACAAGACTTCAGGCATTGACAGAATACCCATTGAAGTTTCAACAAACAGATGCTGTGCTGGAGGCACTCACTCAGCTATGCCAAGTGATTTGGAAGACAGCTACCCAGCCAACTGACTGGAAGAGATCCACATTTGTACTCAATCCAAAGTAAGGTGATCCCACAGAATGTGGAAATTATTAAACGATACCACTGATATCACATGCAAGTAAAATCTTACTGGAGATAATCCAAAAATGTCTGTAGCAGTATATTGACAGTGAACTTCCATAAATGAAAGCTGGATTCAGAAGGGGACGTAAAGTGAAGGCTATCACAGCTGATGTCAGATGGATCTTGGCTCAAAGCAAAGAATACTAGAAAGATGTTTACTTGTGTTTTATGATTATGCAAAGGCATTCAATTGTGTGCATCATAGCAAATTGTGGATAATACTGAAAAGAATGGGAATTTCAGAACACTTAATTGTACTCATGAGAAACCTGTACATAGACCAGGAGGATGTCATTTGAACAGAACAAAGGAATACTGCATGGTTTAAAATCAGGAAGGGAGTGTGTCAGAGTTGTATCCTTTCACCATACTTATTCAATCTGTATGCTGAGCAAATAATCCAAGAAGCTGGACCCTATGAAGAAGAACATGGCATCAGGACTGGAGGAAGGCTCATTAACAACCTGAGATATGCAGATGGCACACCTTTGCTTGCTGAAAGTGAGGATGACTTGGAGCACTTACTGATGAAGATTAAAGACTACAGTCTACAGTATGGATTACACCTCAATATAAAGAAAAGAAAAATCCTCACAACTGGACCAATAAAAGAAACATCATAATAAACGGAGAAAAGATTAAGTTGTCAAGAATTTCATGTTGTTTGGTTCTACAATCAACGCCAATGGAAGCTACAGTCAAGACATCAAAAGACGTATTACATTGAGCAAATCTGTTGCAAAAGACCTCTTTTAAGTGCTGAAGAGCAAAGATACCTCCTTGAAGACTAAGTTGCACCTAACCCAAACTACGGTACTTTCAATCACCTCATATGCATGTGAGATCTGGACAATGAATAAGGAAAATTGAAGAAGAGTTGATGCTTTTCAGTTGTGGTGTTGGAGAAGAATGCTGAAAGTACCGTGGACCGCCAGATGAACTAACAAATCTGTCCTGGAAGAAGGGCAGCTGGAATGCTCCTTAGAAGTGAGAATGGCCAGACTTTGTCTCACCTACTTTGGTCATGTTGTCAGAATGAACCATTCTCTGGAGAAGGATGTCATGCTTGGTAAAGTGGAGGGTCAACAAAAAAGGGAAGGCTCTCAACAAGATGGTTTGACACAGTGGCTTCAGCAATGGGTGCAGGTTATAGTAGGGATTATGTGGCTGGCACAGGACCAGACACTGTTTCATTCTGTTATACATAAGGTTGCTAGGAGTTGGAGATGATTCAACAGCACATAACAGCAACAACAGGTGCAGTAATTTTTTTTTTTTTGCGGGGGGGACAGATAGGTAGACAGAGAAACAAAGAGTATGGAGAGGCACATCTTGCATGACAACCAAAGTGTACTATTGTTATATATACCTGAAAATATATGGAAGAGAGCACCTTGAATGTAAAATATAACTTTTTTTTTCTTTTTTTTTTAAATATAACTTCTTGACACTATAAAATTAAAGGCTTCCTAATACATAATGCTATAATGAATTACAGAAACCTTATCAAATCTTTTATTCACAAAGAGAAAGCAACAGGAGATATTTTGCCTAGGGCTTGGCCCAAGAAATCCTGTAAAAAATATCTTCTCTCTTAAATAGATGAGGCCTAGGAAGCGCAGAGGATTTCCTGGAAAACAAGACAAAAATTTTTCTCACACTGAAAGATAAAGTTCTCTACCTTTCTTGCTTATCTTCTGCAACCAGTGGCTGGAGACAAACAATATGCATTTGCTGAATGATGACTACTTAATGTAGATTTCTATGCTCCAGCCCTGTACAGTCTGGGCTGAGGCTTGGAATCTGCATTTCTTACTCATCCACAAGTGACTGATAGTCAACCAGGTGTAAGAACCACCAAAACCAAACCAACTACCATCAAGTTGATTACAATATATAGCAACCTTGCAGGACTGAGTAGAACTGCCCCAATAGGGTTTCCAAAGCTATAATCTTTACAAGAAGCAGACTTCCACATCTTTCTCCCAAAGAATGGCTGGTGGGTTCAAACTACCAACCATTTGGTTAGCAGCCAAGTGCTTAAACACTGTGCCATCAGGGCTCCTATTAGAACCATCCTAAAACCCTCTGCTACTGAGTAAATTCCTACTCATAGCAACCCTATAGGACTTCTAAGGTTCTAAATCTTTACCAAAGTAGATTGCCTCATCTTCCTCCCACAGAGCAGCTGGTGGGTTTGAACCACCAACCTTCTGGTTAGCAGCAAATACCTTACCCACTACCATCAGAGCTCCTTTTATAAGAACCACGGGGCTACATTAATTCACCAGGCAATATCAATCTGTCATTTCCATATTTCACATCTATTCCACTTGCTTTCAACTCAGTATCCATGCCTCTTTAATGCACACATACATCTCTGAACTGATCCTGAGACTGAAGAAATGAGAAGTGGGAAAAACCAGAGAAGCCAACTCTAGATTTATCTTCACTAGAGAAAATAATCAGTTCAATAGAACTGGCTTATAACCAGAAGCACAGCATGTCTAAGATTGATGAGAAGGGGTTACCAAAAACCAAACCAAAGCCATAGCTCCATCGAGTAGATTCTGACTCATAGCAACTCTATAGGACAGAGTAGAATGCCCTATAGGGTTTCCAAGACTGTAAATCTTTATGGAAGCAAGCTGCCTCATCTTTCTCCCATGGAACAGCTGGTGGAATCAAACCACTGACCTTTTAGTTAACAATTAAGCACTTTAACCACTGTGCCACGAGGGCTCCTCGAGAAGGAGTAAAGTACGTATAATCTTAATTATGCTATGTTGTTATGTTGTTGTTATATGCCATCAAGTCGGACCCGACTCATAGTGACCTCTCCTTGGGTTTCTGAGGCAGTATCACTACGGAAGTAGATTGCCCCATCTTCCTTCCGAGGAGTGGCTGGTGGGTTTGAACCACCAGCCTTCTGGTTAGCAGTCAAGTGCCTTAGCCACTATGCTACCAGAGCTCCCTAATTATGCTATAAGAAGTTAAAAAAATATTAAGAAATTAAACCCACAGATTGAAGAAATTTAAAAATATAACTTCATCTATTCTTAGATCTTCCAAAAGATCTTTATGCAATGGCAGCACTGACTGGGTACTCTCGTCTTCCTTCTTTTTGTGTTTACTCTTTGGGACACGTACTAATAGCCAGGGAAATGAATGAAAATGCAAATAACGAAATAGAAAAGGAATCTTCAATCTCCTAAGAGAGTTTAAGATAATGTTTGTCCTAAGGATTTCATGCTTTCCTCCATGCAAAAACTGTTCTGGAATCCTACATAAAATCAAATTTGATTTAGTATATTAAAAATTAAGAGTTTCATGTTTAATGTGTTTTCATTAAAAAAAAAGTCAGGAATGTAGCACCATATAAAATTACCCACCAAGTTTATATAATATTTAATGCTCTAATCAATGAGCCAGATCAAGTTCTAAAATCCTTGAAACTATATTGTAATATTATAAGAAACAATCTAATTTCTGACTCCTTACAAGTACTTTGGAGCCCCAATGGTGAAATGGTTAATTAAACACTTAAAACTCACCAGCAGCTCTGAGGAAGAAAGATGGGAACATCTGCTTCTGTCAAGATTACAGCCTTGGAAACCCTGTGCGGCAGTTCTACTCTGTCCCATAGGGTTGCTAAGAGTCGGAACTGACAGTAGCAACAGGTTTGGTTTTATAAGTACTTTCATTACAATATATTTTGCTAAATTTAAGGTATTCTGAAACTTCCATCAGGATGAAAATCAACAGAAAATGTTTTAAACTTGCTTAATATGGTTCAAATCCACCAAGGGGATATTGGGAGAAAGCCTTGGCAATCTGCTTCCAAAAATTCACAGCTCTGAAAACCTCTGAAGCACAGTTCTACTCTGAAGCACAATGAGGTGGCCATGAATCAGAAGTGACTTAACAGCAACTAGTAATATGATTCATGTTCCAACTTTCTTTCATAATAGTTAAATGTACTTTTATCAGTCTCATATAACTACAAAAGTAAAACCAAATAATGAAGTTTTTATTCCTTCAGGTATTCATTTCAGCATTTACTGAAATAAAGTGAGCTTTTGCTGTATGTTTTTCCTTTTATATAACTCTATCTTACTCAGAAGAAGATCTGAAGAACCTTCAAAACTCAAGAAGGCTGCAAGTGATTCAAAAAGCACAATTAATCATTATAAGTAACTTTACTTCATGATTTTAAGAAATTTCTAATAAACTCATTCTTCTTCATCCTGAAGACATAAAAGTTATGAACAAGGCTTCCTAACTTTCAATTTGCTAGCTTCTTCTCTACAATAGCTTGTCCAAGAGAAATCCCCACTGACCTGACTGGTTTGTTCTCTGGGCCCACATCTCTAAAGCCCAATTCCTCCAGTTTGCAACGTCTGTAAAGTTCATAGTGTCGAGTGTGAGTCTGTTCTCGCAGATCTTCCATATTTGTACAAATGAGCATTTCCCGGAGCTTTACAAAGTCACAGTGGCTTTCATTTTCCACTAGCCAGAAAAAAAAATGAAACAGCAACACTGGTTTTTAATTTCTTGTACACAATTGGTATTTGTTGAATGAATGAATAAATGAAAGCGTATTTGCAATAACAAACATCCAAATGCTTGGTCTGATTAATAGCTATGATTATTTTATACAAGTAGCCGAGGAAGAAATTCTTGTATTACACACAACACATTACAAATGAAGTTAATTAACGGACCAGGAAGTTTGTTTTAAGTTTAGTAGTCAGTGGATAAAGAAATAGCAAAGAAATACATTATATTACCATATGCTTTAGTTATTTCACTAATATTGTTAGCAGTTTACCAACCATCCTCTGGATATTTCACACAGTACATACATACAAACATACATACATAAACAGTATGTTGCTAAAACTTCAAAGTTGTAAATTTTGCTAACTAAAGAGTACTATATGTCCATGCTACAATTATGACATTGTTTTTATATAACACTACATTTTGATCTTGTGCTAGACAGTATTCAAAATTAGTGAATAAATTTATATAGTCCTTCCATGTTTATGTGACCAAAAAAAAAACCAACTCACTGCTGTCAAGTCAACTGCAACTCATAGTGACCCCCTTCTTGGGTTTCTGAGGCAGCATCTCTATGGAAGTAGATTGCCCAACCTTCCTCCCAAGGAATAGCCGGTGGGATTGAACCACCAGCCTTCTGGTTAGCACTCAAATATCTTAGGCAATATGCCACCAGAGCTCCCTTATAGTGATCAGATGACTATAAATAGACTACGTGTTTCTGTGACTGGTAGTTTTAAGTATAATTACTACTTTGATATTATCTATATATTTTTTTAAAAAAATGTTACCTCTTCTCAATATTTTTCATTAATTAACAAAAGTTGTCAATGTTTAAAAAAGGAACATTTAGATACCAGTCTATTAGGGGTAACTTATTCCCCATTAGTTAGCATCACAATAAACCAGTACTAAATAAATACTACTTGCTTATTAGAAGAAGTTCTGGTGCAGTAGTGGTTAAAGCATTAAACTGCTAACCAAAAGGTCAGTGGTTCAAACCCACTAGCTCCTCCAGGAGAGAAAGTCAAGGCAGTATCCTTTGGTAATGATTGATAGTAGACAGTTCTAAAGGGTCGCTATGAGTTGACATCAACTCAACAGCATAGGTTTTGGTTTATTATATTTGTTATAATGCTAGATAAATAATCTACCATCAAGTGAATTTAATTTTTCAGTTTTTTGTTTTGGATATAGTTGGCAATCCTTTGTTCTGTTGATCAGTAAAAATATATAAATTTACAAGATGGCTTATTATACCCTAAATTAAGTAGTTTGTCTATCATTTTTAAAGACAACTTTGTTATCTTGTGCTGTCAAGTTGACACCAACTCACAGAGATCCTATAGGAAAGAGTAAAAATGCCACATAGGGTTTCCAAGGCTGTATGAAATCTTTACAGGAGCAGATTGGCATGTCTTTTCTCCTACAGAGGGGTTGGTGGGTTTGAATCACCAACCTTTCAGTTAGCAGCCAAGTACTAAACTGTTGTGCCAACAGGGCTCCTTTCATTTATTTCTTTCTTTGATGAACTTTATAGTTTTAGGTTTCATGTTTAAATCTTTAATCTATCGGGAGTTAGTTTTTGTGTATAGTGTGAGATATGGATCTTGTTTCATTTTTCTGCAAATGGGTATCAAGTTTTGCCAGCACCATTTGTTAAAGAGACTATCTCTTCCCCATTGAATGGATTTTGGCTCTTTGTCAAAGACCAGCTGACCATAGGAGGATAGATCTATTCTTAGGTCCTCAATTTTGTTCTACTGGTCTACATGTCTGTTGTACCAATATCAGGCTGTTTTTGACTATTGTGGCTGTATAGTAGGTTTTGAGATCCACCAGGGCAACTTTTAAACACTACTATTTACACTCAGATTTTGTTCAAAGTGCCCCACCAGTGCTTCCCACCTGCTGAGTGTCACATGGCACACCAAGGGAGGTGGTATGTGTGTGGCACAATGTAGAAAACGAGTTCAGTTCTGTCTGGACTTTTGACTTTGGCCTAAAACAGAACACAGCAAACTCCTATGACAACCAGTCATAATTCAAAATAAGTGTCACCTCAAGGATCACATTAAATGCAATTTTGAGACTATTAGGCAACATACATATTTCTAGTAATCATTCCAAAAGTTCACATTTATCTTATTTACCTTCTACAATACCCCAAGGATATTGACGAGCTTTGACCACCTTATTTCCAACTTTTACCTCATCCATACTTCCTACAACAGCAAATGGTAAATGTGCCTGGAAAAGAACCATAATCTCAATCATATTTTCTCAAACCAATGTGAGAACCATGTAAGCAAGGGTTAGGAAAATAACAGAAAAGACAATAATTTAATAACTAATGAATTTCCTAAAATCAAGTGATTTGCCATGGCTCAGATTTTAAAACTTGGCAAGAAATATGTGCATATTTTTCAGACTCTATAAAAAATTAATTATTCATTGAGCATTACGCCTAATGGAAAGCATCACGACACTGGGAATTTAAAAAGAAAGAAAGAATTCTAGTATACATACTATCACTTTTAATATTATCATTGTCCTAAAAGATAATGTTGAGGAAATTGTACAGATAACCATATACATAGCTACAGTGTATATCTATATTTAGTGTGTGTATAGATAAATGATGCTAACATAAAATAATATATAAATCCAAAATTAATGCTGAAGACAGTAAAAGCTATAGAAATTTAGAGGAGTGAGAGATCACTGTGAATAGGAAAAATAAGGGGAAGTTTGAAGAAGGAAGTACAACCCAAGCTGGATCAGAAAGGATTAGATTTAGACAGATCAAAAAGAATAGGAAGGACAAACTTAGGCAAGGAGAAGATTTTGAACAATAATAGAAACTGCAATGGGCAACAGATAGATTCAGGGGCAGTGAGTAGATAGTCTGTCTGAAGTTGAGGATTAATAAAGGGGAAAAGCCTAATGTACAGAGTTTTACATACTATGCTTAATATTTAATAATTAAACTTATCTCTTAATTGCTTCTTTCTGAAAAATTAGTCAGCTTTTTATATATTTAGTTTAGGTATTTTAATATAAATGGAGAAGGAATAAATCATAAAAGGGAAAAAGAAGAAATGGAATTAACATTTTTTGAATGGTGCTATCAGGTACTTAACAAAAGTTGCATCACTTAATCCTCACAATCCTTAAGGTAGGCAATATTAACACCATTTCGTAAATATGCTAACAGTCTGAAAGAGGTTAATAACTCCCACAACAGATGGTTAAGTCTGTCTGAGTCTAACATTCTGAATGTTCAAAAGAGAATCAGATATTTAAGGAACGTGTAAGCCTGAAGAAAGTTAAAAAAAAAAAAAAAAAAAACTTAGTCATTTTTAATCACTAAAAGTTATGTGAATATTTAATAGGCATTTGTGACACTGTAAGAGAGAGTGAGCTAAAATTCCAGATGAGAAAAATCCCCTTGATTTCAAGATTCTAAAGCATTCCAAGTAAGGCTATAAGGGCAAGATAGAAGGCCATCTTTCTGAGGCCATGAAGTGTGGGGTCCACAAAAGGTGTATCCCATTCTAACAAACATACCCCTTTATTTGGATGAAAGAAGGGCAGAAGAAAAATATGCTTACAATTCTTATACTTTTTCCAACTCAAGAGAATTAAACATTTTTCTACATTGGAATTTTTGAAAATTCACCTTATTTGAGTCTTTTTGGAAGATACAAGATAAAATATATTAGTAACAATGTTACTTACAAAGTCTTTTTATTTTCACATGCAAAACAGAATTCACAGTCAACAGGAGCTTACGTTCATTGAAGAATTGATTCTAGCAATAGTTTCATCATCTGTTGGGAACTGGTATATCTGGACGCCACTGCTAACCAATTCACTCATAACTTTGACCTTAAACTTCTGTAATTCATTTTTAGAAATTGTATCTGCTTTGGCAATCAATGGTATAATGTTCACCTAATAAGAAAAAGAAAAACAAAATCTTGTATTTGTGGATTTGTTTTTAATCCTGTAAGCTTTCACATTTAGAGCCATCAGTCTCTGATAATAAATTTCCTCCCCCTAGATCAGGAGGTCAGCAAAGGTTTGCTTTGATGTTTATTTTCACAAAGTTTTACAGGAACATAGTCATGTCCCTTATTTACATATTATCTATGGCTGTTTTCATGCTACAGCAGCAGAGCTGAGTGTTAGAGACACCACATGCCCTGAAAAGCCAAAACTATTTACTACCTGGCCCATTATAAAAAAGCTTGCCGGGCTGCTTATGCACAGGGAGATAGATAGCTCAGGGTGCAGAAGAGTATGAAGGGATGGACACTGGGAGGAGGTAACTATGGGGAGGAAGTGGGAGGGGAGCTGCTGCATTGTAAATTTTGGTCAATGACGTGAGACAAAGTATATGTGAACTGCTGTATGAAAAGTGAATTTACTCTGTAAATCTTCACCCAAATCCTAATAAAAAAAAAAAAAAAAGCTTGCCAATCCCTGACTTAGATAATCACTGGCTGTCTTTGTTACAACATGTCCTAAATATAGTCATTCCTACAAATACTGGCTTTATAATAATTACTTTCAAAAAGCAGAGTTAGTACAAGATTAAGCTTCTATATGATTTAGGTTTGGAAACCTCAACTTTTCTTCTCTCTCCTTCCAAGTCTCTTACAATTCCCATCACATTCAAAGTAAGTAAAATCTATGCAGTAAACTGAAATATTGTTGCTGGGTGCTGTCAAGTCAGTTCCAACTCATAGCAATCTTATGAACAACAGAACCAAACGATCCCCGGTCTTGTGCCATCCTCACAATTGTTGTAATGCTTGAGCCCACTGTTGCGGTCAACGTGTCACTCCATCTCGTTAAGGGTCTTCCTCATTTTTGCTGACCCTCTACTTTACCAAGCATGATATCCTTCTCTAAGGAACTGGTCCCTTGTGATAAAATGACTAAATTATAAGAGACAAAGTCTGGCCATTCTTGCTTTTAAGGAGTACTTTCTGGCCTTACTTCTTCCAAGATAGATTTGCTTATTCTTCTGTCAATTCATGGTGTATATTCAATATTCTTTGCCAATATCATAATTCAAATGTACCAATTCTTCGATCTTCCTTATTCATTGTCCAGCTTTCACATGCATATGAGGCAACTAAAAATACCATAGCTTCAGTCAGGCACACCTCACTTCAAAGTAACTAACATCTTTGCTCTTCTACACTTTAAAGAGGTCCTTTGCAGCAGATTGTTGTTGCTGTTAGGTGTCGTCAAGTCATCTCTGACTCAGAGACCCTGTGTACAACAGAACGAAACACTGTGTGGTCCTGTGCCAGCCTCACAGTACTTGTTATACCTGAGCCCATCACTGCAGCCACACTGTCAATCCATCTCATTGAGGGTCTCCCCTTTTTTTTGCTGACCCTCCACTTTATCAAGCATGATATCCTTCTCCAGGGAATGGTCCCTTCTGACAACATGACCAAAGTAGGTGAGACAAAGTTTGGTCATTCTTGCTTCCAAGGAACATCCCAGCTGCACTTCTTCCAGGACAGATTTGTTCGTTCTTTTGGCAATGCATGGTAATTTCAGCATTCTTCGCCAACACCATAATTCAAAAGCATCAACTCTTCATTGGTCTTCCTTATTCACTGTCAAGCTTTCACATGCCGATGAGGTGATTGAAAACACCATGGCTTGGGCTGGGTGCACCTTAGTCTTCAAAGTGACATCTTTTGTTCTTCAGCACTTGAAAGAGGTCTTTTGTAGCACAAATACCCAATGCAATATGTCATGTGATTTCTTAAGCGGTGCTTCTATTGGCTTTGATTGTGGAAACAAGCAATATGAAATCTTTGATTACCTCAATCTTTTCTCCACTTATCATGATGCTGCTTATTGGCCCAGCTGTGAGGATTTTCATTTTCTTTCTGTTGAGGTGTAATCCATACTACAGACTGTAGTCTTTAATCTTCATCAGTAAGTTCAAGTCATCTTTCAGCAAGCAAGGTTGTGTCATCTACATATCGCAGGTTGTTAATAAGTCTTCCTCCAATCCTGATACCACATTCTTCTTCATATAGTCCAGCTTCTTGGATTATTTGCTCAGCATACAGATTGAATAAGTATGGTGAAAGGATACAACCCTGACACACTCCCTTCCTGATTTTAAACCATGCAATATCCCCTTGTTCTGTTTGAATGAAAGCCTCATGATTCATGTATAGGTTCTGCATGAGCACAATTAAGTGTTCAAGAATTCCCATTCTTCTCAATATTATCTATAATTTGTTATGATCCACACAATCAAATGCTTTTGCATAGTCAATAAAACACAGGTAAACATCTTTCTTGTATTCTTTGCTTTGAGCCCAGATCCATCTGACAACAGCTATGATATCCCTTGTTTCATGTCCTCTTCTGAATCCAGCTTGCACTTATGGAAGTTCCCTGTCAATATACTGCTGCAACAGTTTCTGAATTATCTTCAGCAAGATATTACTTGTGTGTGATATTTATGATATTGTTCAATAATTTCCACATTGTGTGGGATCACCTTTCTTTGCAATGGGTACAAATACAAATTTCTTTCAGTCAGTTGGCCAGGTAACTGTCTTCCAAATCCCTTGGCATAGACCAATAAGTACCTCCAGCACAGCATCCATTTGTTGAAACATCTCAATGAGTATTCTGTCAATTCTTGGAGCCTTGTTTTTCACCACTTCCTTCAGTGCAGCTCAACCTCTTCCTTCAATACCATTGGTTCTTGAACATATGCCGCCTCTTGAAATGGATGAACATCGACCAATTGTTTTTGGTACAGTGACTCTACATATCTTCTTTTGATGTTTCCTACATCATTTAGTATTTTGCCCATAAAATCTTTCAATATTTCAACTTCAGGCTTGAATTTTTTCTTAAGTTCTTTCAGCTTGAGAAGTGCAAGTGTGTTCTTCCCTTTTGGTTTTCTAACTCCATGTCTTTGTACATTTCATTAAAATAATTGACTTTGTCTTCTCAAATTGCTCTTTGAAATCTTCTGTTCAGCTAATCTTTTATCTTTATCATTTCTTCATTTGCTTTAGCTACTCTCTGTTCAAGAGCAAGCTTCTGAGTCTCTTCTAACATCCATTTTGGCCTTTCCTTACTTTCCTGTCTTTTTAATAACCTTTTGCTTCCTTCATGGATGATATTCTTGATGTCATCCCACAATTCCTCTGGCTTTCAGTTATTGGTGGTTCAATGTGTTCAATCTGTTCTTTAGATGGTCTCTAAACTCAGGTGGAATATAATCAAGGTCATATTTTGGCTCTCGTGGACTTCTTTTAATTTTCTTCAGCTTCAGCTTGAACTTGCACATGAGCAATTGATGGTCTGTTCCACAGTCAGCTCCTGGCTTTGTTTTGGCTAAAGATATTGAGCTTTTTCATAGCCTTTGTCCACAGATGCAGTTGATCCAATTCCTGTGTATTCCATCTGGTGAAGTCCATGTATATAGCCACCGTTTATGTTGCTGAAAAAAGGTATCTGCAATGAATAAGTTGTTGGTCTCAGATAATTCTATCATTTGATCTCCAGTGTCATTTCTATCACCAAGGCCATATTTTCCAACTACTGGTGACTCTTCTTTTTTTTCAACTACTACTACTATTATCCAGTTAACATTACTACTATTTTTTCAACTACTACTACTATTATCCAGTTAACACTACTATTTTTTTCAACTACTATTACTATTATCCAGTTAATAATACTGTTCTTCAAATTTACCCCTCAACCACCAAAGCCAAACACAAGGAAACTGTATATTTTTACCAACTTCTGCAGTCTGAAATTGACCAAACATGCAATAAAGATGTACTGATTATCACCAGTGACTGGAATGTAAAGGTTGCAAACAAAAGTTGCAGCAGATTAACCCAATGCAAAATATTGTTTGATTTCTTGACTGCTGCTTCCATGGGCATTAATAATCTGCTTGCTTGACTAAGAATTTTTACTTTTTAATAATCTAAGTAGGAGTCCCTGCATGGTACAGTTAACACACTTGGCTGCTAACCAGAAAGTTGGAGGTTGGAGTCTACCCAGAGGTGCCTCAGAAGAAAGGCCTGGTGATCTACTTCTGATAAATCAAACATTGAGTACTCTACCAAGCACCATTCTAACCTGACACACATGAGGTCACCATGAGTCAAAATCAACTCAACAGCAACTGGTTTAATAATCTGAGAACTAAGCTAAGATTGAAACATCAAACATCATAAAATGCACACACAAAAAAAATTGCATGACATATATACATATTTTAAAGTCGCATTAATAATTCAAAATAAATACTAATGCATGATGAGTTGATTTCTCTTCCAAACCCACCTTACTGTCAAGGTTTTTCATGGTTAAAAGATCGAGTGTCTTCAGAGAGTGGCCAGTTGGTGCAATGAAGTAAAGGCACACATGAACTCGAGAATCATGGTAGTTAAAAAGACACCGTTTAATCTTCAATTCTTCTTGGAGATAGGCCTCAAACTGAGCATCTATGTAGTCGACTATTGGTTGATAGCTAAAAAAAATAATTCAAATATTTAATACAACATATTCATGCTACTTTAAGATATATGTCCAACTTTAGCACTAATAAACAGTTAATATCCGTGTTCAACAGATAACCTTAGTGATAAAACTACAGGTTCTACACATACAAAGATATTACTTCAAAACAATCAGAACAACCTGTGCTTTAAATCATTTCACAGAAACGGTACTGAGAATTGACACTGATTAATTCCCATGTTCATGTACACCCTAAATCCCTTTCTAACAAAGGTACCCACTTGCCAAACTGCTGCATGAGGTTTGGAGTCCAATTTGTATAATCAGATTAGTATACGGTACATTACTAAATTGAGTGAAAAAAGGTAATGTATTAATAATTTTAAAAGACACGTAAGTCAAATTCCATGCCTTCTTGCCTCTTAAGTCAGATCCATAAGGCATGAAAGGCTTAACACAATAAAGAGAAAAGGCATACATCAACTGAAAGTATCTAACCAATAATGCTGCCATGATTTTATTTTTGTTTAATTATAAGCAAAGGAAAGGTGCATCAAATCATGTGCTCTGTGTCATTTCTCCTCCCAGGAATACTTCCTTCCCTCTGGCTTTCTAACTTTATTCATCCTTCAAGTTCCAAATCAAATCACAGTGTATAAGCAGAGCTAATATTGTTTCTACACATTTCACTTCATTTTGATATGCTAAATTACCACCTATGCAATTTGTCTTTCTCTACTTATAACTATTCTTATTACTCAACTCTGGGTTTCCAAGTGAAAATAACAGCAAATCATTCTGATGTCAAATTCGACGAACACCTTTTGTAATTATTCTTGATCTCCAAAATGACGCAGCACTTCGTGCTTATAAGGCACTCAATATATGTGTGTAGAATTGAATTCTTATATAAAGTTGCCAGACCCTCTAGTCCTTGAGTGGCATCACCTCTTTTAAACTCATAGAATACCTTGGCTTCCTACCCAGATGGTAAGTAATTTGAGGACAGAGACAGTATCTTATCCTTTTTTCCCCAAAAAGAACTAGTATAATATAAACAATCCCTGAGTTACTAACAAGATCAGTTCCTAAATGTGGCTTTAACTTGAACGTGAAGTTAAGTCAGAACAGGTACATACAGTTTTTAGCCTTACTTTAGCGCAAGAAAAGGCTGAATGATTTTCAATGATTTATAAGCTGTACATGCAGCAAGTAAAAGTGACTGTAATGAAGAATTTATTGTAGGTAGGGTATGAATCATTTCAAAGTGAGAGTAAATTTACATAACATTAAAGGGCAAGTATGAGTTGTCCGGAAGTCAGATGTTCTTAACCCAGGGATTTACTATACCTTGAATAAGAACACAATTGTTTCAGAGTGACTACTATGAATATCAGTAAGTGATCCTTGGGAAACTGGTCTAAATGTGAGTCACGATGATTACCTCCCCAAAATGATAAAGTAGTAAAAGTTAACGTGTAATAACATATTTGAAATAAAAATGACAATGAAGGTTATTAACCAATTAAAATAGTAGTATGATTCACTTTTCCCAGAAAGTAAAGCAGAATCTAATAAGACATTTTAAAATGCTATTATCTGTTACAACCAAAACAGCCTGATACTGGTTCAACAATAGAAACATGGATCAGTGAAATAGAATTGAAAACTCAGAACAAAACTCAAATATCTATGGATAAGTGAATTTAAAAAAATAAAAATAAAACAAAGTTTTTATCATAACTTGAATGCCATTTTACAAAGCTGATTCATTTTACACTCAACCGTTCATACATGTTTCACAGCACCAATTACAATCCCCATACTGAAACAACTCTCATCCCACCTCTTCCCCGTAGTTATCCCTTCCACTGTGTCCTTAGCTATGCATTCCTGCCTGCCTTGCTTTCCTCCAATACAAATACTGCCCTTCTGATCTCCCATGATTCACTGTTCTCAGGAGTGTATCTCCCTCGTGTAGGTATTCAGCTCACAGGCCTGTCAATTGTTTGGCCAAGAGCTAATCCACGGGAATGAGTTCCACTGCAGGTCCACATTCCCAGAGGGTTTCACCAGTCTCTATCCGACTAGTAATTCTGATTATTTTTATGGTTTTGAATTTTGTTCCATATTTTTTCTCCTATTCTATACAGGATCTCTAATGTTGATCCTTTTCCAAGTGGTTGACATGGGTAGCCAGGTACTATCTAGTTCTTCTGGTCTCTGGGTCATGTAGAAAGAGGTTTCCACAGTCCCTTGGACTGTTTTCATACGTCTCTGATTTTCTTCACTCTTCTTTGCTCCAGATGAGAAGAGACCAACAGTAGCATCTTACATGGCCACTCTTAAGCTTTTAAGGCCCCAGTCTGTACTCATGAAAATAGTATGCAGAACAATGTTTTGGGACAACTGATTTTTGATAAGGGGTCAAAGTCAATGCAGTAGGTCAGAGACAGTCTCTCTAATAAATGGTGGCAAAACTGCTGAAATATCCACCTACAGAAAACTGAAACAGAACCCATACTTTGCATCAAACACAAAAACTAACTCAAAACAGATCAAAGACCTAAATGTTAAACCTCAAACCATAAAGTTCCTCAGAGAAAATTATGGGACTTAATATTTTATAAAAATAAGATAACATTAAAACAAATGCACAAATAGAAAAAGACAAAACAGATAATGCGAACTCATAAAAATTTAAAACTTCTGCTCATCAAAAGACATTATCAAAAAACTAAAAGGAGAGCCTATAAATTGGCAAAAAATCTTTGGAAATGGCATATCAGGTAAGGGCCTAATCTCTATAATTTATAGAAAACCTCAACAATTTAACAACAAAAAGACAAACAACCCAGTTAAAAAATGGGCAAAGGACATGAACAGAACTGTCACTGAAGAAGACATCCAAGCAGCTAACAAATACGTGAAAAGACACTCACGATCATTAGCCATTGTTAGGTGTTATAGAGTTGGTTCCAATTCATAGAGAACCTGTTTACAAAAGAGCAATAAATACTGCCCAGTCCTGTACCATCCTCACTTGAAGCCATCGTTGCAGCCACTGTGTCAATCCATCTAGTTGAGTTCTTCCCCTTTTTCACTGACCGTCCACTTTACAAATAAGGGCATTCTTCTCCAGGGACTGGTCCCTTCTGACAAAATGTCCAAAGTACAAGAGACGATGTCTGGCTAAGGAGCATTCTGGCTGTACTTCCTCCAAAATAGATTTGTTTATTCTTATAGCAGTCCATGGTACATTCAATATTCTTTGCTAACACCACAATTCAAATGCAGTCTTCTTTATTCATTGCCCAGGTCCCACATGCATATAAGGCTACTGAAAATATCATGGTTTGGGTCAGCTGCCCTGTCTTCTTGAGCCACCCTTTGAAATCTTCTGTTCAGTTCTTTTACTTCATCATTTCTTCCACTTGCTTTAGGTACTCTCCATTCAAGATGAAGCTTCACAGTCTCTTCTGATATCCATTTCTGCCTTTTCTTTCTTTCCTGTATTTTTAATGACTTTCTGCTTTCTTCATGCATGATGTCTTTGATGTCATCCCACCACTCGTCTGGCCTTTGGTCCTTGGTGTTCAATGTGTCAAATCCATTCTTCAGATGGTCTCTAAATTCAGGTGAGATATACTCAAGGTCTTCTTTTGGTTCTTGTGAACTTGTTTTAATTTTCTTCAGCTTCAACTTAAGCTTGCATTTCGGCAGCTGATGATCTACTCTGCAGTTGGCCCCTGTCCTTATTCTGACTGATGATACTGAATTTCTCCATTGTCTGTTTCCACACTTGTAGTCTATTTTTGTGTATTCCATCTGGTGAGGTCCACATGTATAGTCACCATTTATGTTGTTGAAAAAAGGTATTTGCAATGAATAAGGTGTTGGGCTTGCAAAATTCTATCACATTATCTGCAGCATCATTTCTATCACCAAGGCTATATCTACTAACTACCAATACTTGTTTGTTTCCAACTTTCATATTCCAATCACCAGTAATTATCAATACATCTTTTTTTTCTTCTTTTAATTTGTATTGTGATTTGGGGGAAAATTTATAGAGCAATTTCACTTTTCATACAGCAGTGTACATACACTATCTCATGACATTGACTAATTTCCCACAATGCAACAGCTCCCCCTCACTTCCTCCCCATAGTTACCTCTTCCCCGTGTCCTTCCCTCCAATGCACTCCTGCTCCCCGAGCTGTCTCCCTGTGCATACACAGCCCTTCTATTCTCCCATGATTGAGATCTCCAAGGAAGGGTATCTATATAAATGTTCAGCTGATATGAGCTGGAAGCCACAGGAGTGGGTTCAATTCCAGACCTGAGGGGCAGCTAGGGGCCATAGCCTCAGTAGTTCCATCAGGCTCTACCAGACCAACAAATCTGGTTTTTTTTTTTTCTTTTTCATGATTTTGAGTTTTGTTCCACATTGTTCTCCCACTCTACCCAGGATCTCCTACGTAGATCCCCCTCTGAGTGGTTGACAGTGGTAGCCAGGCACCATCTAGTTTTTCTGGTCTCACAGTCATAATTATCAATATATCTTGATTGCATGTTTGGTCAATTCCAGACTGTAGAAGTTGGTAAAAAAAAGTCTTCAATTCATCTTTGGCTTTGGTTCTTGATGCATAAATTTGAATAAGTAATATCAACTGGTCTTCCTTGTAGGCAAGCATTGTACTTCAGGATACATTTTGAAATGTTCTTTATAACAATGAATGTGATACCATTCCTCTTTAATTTGTCATTCTTGGCACAGTAAATGATATGATTGTCCAATTCTAAATGGCCTATACCAGTCCATTTCATCTGACTAATGCCTAAGATACTGATCTTCATGTGTTGCCTAAAAGAGATGCAAATCAAAACTATAATGAGATACCATCTTACTTCTACTAAAATGTCACTGATTTAAAAAAAACAGGGAGGAGCAGAGGAGGTGAAAGTACTCTTTGAACTGTCAACCTTCTGGTTAGCAAACAAATGCCT